CTTCGGAATTTTCCAATCCGACCGGTCTAATTGCATTTTTCCCGTCTATGTCATTGTTCAATTCCACTGCGGAAGTGAACTTTGGTGACAAACCGTTCCAGTTCTATCCTGGGGTAAGTTTCATTTGGTTGATCTGGGCAAACTTCTCGATTCCCCGCTCCTCCCACTGCTCTGTTCGTTGAGCTTGAAATTATTCCACTGGGTTCAGACTATTTACCTACCTACTGTGAAGGTTATTCCCGCTATCCCCTCTCAAATTTGTCAATCTTCAGTTGGTTCCTTTGCATTTCTTGTCACATGGTATGCGTATATCCTCTGTTTAGCGTTCATTTTTCGGGGGCGGGGGGGGGGTAGGAGAGCGGGACAATCTTTAGTCATAAGGTAGTAATTCTGTTATCAAATCCTATGTCTGATACTTGGATCGCAGCTCATTCCGGATAACATGCAATCTTTTTGAAAAAAAGTTGCTGTCCCTCATCTCGATCGTACTGTCCCAATCTGGGCTGTACAGATGCTTGTAAGTTGAGGCAATACGATGTGACCACAGGGAACGAATGACAACTACTACAGTCAATGGAATATGTGCACAGCCTAAATCGATGCCTGACCTGATGTGGTGGTGATAACACTACCCTTAACTGACCTCAATGTGACCCTGAATTCATTTCTTGGGATTACGCGGCTCCTGGGGGCGTGGGTAACAAACAGGACGGCTATTCAGTTAGTTGGTCACAGCTTCGCGCGCTGGTGTGTACGTGCGTGCGTGCGCGTGTGCCTTGGATAGGGGAGAGGGAGGTTGTAGTAATGATAAGAAGAAGCATGTGAAGAGAACATGAGGTGTTGCTCTTTGTTCTTTTCCACCTATATTCGTGTTCTCAGTTTGTGTTCTCAGGTCACACAATCGAGCGAAAGAAAACGAACCAAAGGTTGCTGAATTTTGCACATTTTATATCACCGAACTAATCAAAATGAGCTTTCTAAACCGCAAATGTTAGCTTGAGCTTTCACCTCGCTTTTCACTCACTCTGTTCAAACCATATACACAGTTTTCTTTATCACACCGTGAACATCAGAAGGACTAAACCCCATGGGGATCGGCAGCCCAGGTATGGGAACTTGGAGTAAGGAGCTATACAAGGTCACGCGATGATAAACGTTATTGGTCCGGATGATAAGGACTCTATCATTCTCACCACTGCTCAAGGCGGGTGGGTTCATGCACTATGCGTGGCATTCACAGTGCACTCATTTCATTTCGTGATGATGATGACGCTGATACGAATGATGATGACCCTGACGAGACTGTGTTCCTTTTTATTACCACTGAACTGAACACTTACGTTTGGAGTCTCTGAAGGCGGGCACATTTCTGGTCGCATCCATCGACCGTCCGGTTGTCACAGTCTGGGAAAGTTGTCTTTGTTGCTTGGAGAGTAATTTGCTCGCCGTATGCATTCACTTGGGAATAGAAAGAGTTAAGAATGGGAACATCTCAAACAAATCAATAGAGCAGCTACCAGGCTCGTTTTCAGAGATTATTCATATTCATGCCAATACATCTCAATATATATATATCACTATTTGGGAATATAATTGCTCGGAGAACTCTTGACTAAACATCGAGTTTAAGAAAAAATCCGTGTACATTTATTTGCCGTTCAGCTGAGATCCGACGCTCGTGATCGGACGAGTGGACAAACAAATACATGAACGTGGTGAACCCGACTTCCAGTTTCATGATGAAATCGTTTCTAGTAATGTGTGATTTGTTTTGATTTTCCCAAGACAATTTTATTCTCAAGTAGTGATATATATATATATATATATTGAGATGTATTGACACGAATAGGAATCTCTGAAAACGAACTTGTTCGCCGCCCTGTTGTTTTGCTTGAAATGTACTCTGTGAGACTATTTCACCAATGGGAACATCATTGAATGGCACTTCGTCGAATACGTTTGACACATACAGAATTGCTTGATTTCCTAGGTTCGCGTGTGCTGGTTTAAATCATTTTAATAACCTATGATAGTACATGGGGTTTAGAGTAGCGATATCTTGCCAAAATGCTTTCCGCTCCTGGTCTCCATGAGGCTAAAAGAATTGGTGCGATCCGTGTTTCATCGAGCTTTCATCAGCTTTTGGAACGCCTCTTCGAATGGTCATCATATCGATTAGACGGCTCAAACGAACCAGTAGAAGTCATAACTTTACCTCATCACTAAAGATGTCCAGTTAATACAGTAATCTCATCTCATTGGCAAAGCTTTGATACCCGAGAAAATTGGTAATAACGTTCTAGAATCGCTCTAGTCCGGTCTCCATGTTGTTCACGCAAGCCGTCGTTAAGCTGGACAACCATATACCATCACATTCATGCTCAATTGATACTCAAATGAAATAACAAAAATAATTCACACTAACACCTACGTGCATATGCATTTATTTGGTATATTTGGTATATTAGATCCAGAAACTAGCGACTTTTTGAGACACACATAAAAAAGACGAATATCAAATTTCATCATATAATTCGATATTTTCAACTCCAAGTTAAAGTAGACCACTACTGCCCGGCTTGCTGAATTTGTCGATTGTTTCCGACGCGCATTCGCTTGTTCGTCGGTCAAATCTACTCGTCCCCCCCCACCACCACCACCCCGCAACCCTGTTCGCCTTAGCACGTACACAAAGTTCGCAAGTACAAACACGGCCTCTGTGTCACAGGTCAGTCCTGGCGAGCATATTTGTTCTGACAAAACAATTGTCGGTCGCTCAATCAGTTATCTATTCATCCGGTCAGACACAGTTGATTGTTTGTCGACCGTGATCGGTTCCAGTTCGTGCTATCGGATCGCTCTCTCAGTTCGACCGCGAATTTGTTGTCCGATCCACTCTTATCGATTGATCGGATGATGGACTGATCGATCGATCGATCGGTTTCGTGATAGTGGACGCGTGTGAGGCATTGAGTGGGTGAACAAGCCAGTTGACTAGCCGACTGATATGGACTCGAGGATAGAGACGGTAGTGCATCGGTGCTTCGGGTACAGATGCTTTTGTATGTGTGTATGTGTGTGTATGTCCACGCTTGGCGTGTGGCCGAGCTGGTCCCTGCTAATGCTGACTACCCTGTGAATAACAACGGTGTGCACATCGCAAAAGTCTCACGCATCGCAAACGGCATGCTACCGAACCGATTGTCTATAATGTGACGTGAGGTGACGTGACGTGACGTGATTGACATATACTGCGTATACGGCGATCTGAGAACCANTCATGCTCCATGTTTGTGACGGATGAATTAGTGCAAACAGAGATTCGTTCGAATCCTGCAAGACTGACCGCTTCTCACGAATTTGTGTGTGTACACGCGTTTCTTTTTTGTTGCTGCCTTCAAACATATCTTCTATCTCCTTGTTTCCCGCATTGTTTCGGCTGAATGCAAGCTTAGCTTGATTGCCAGGCCAGTAGCTCCACACTTTGAACTGAACTGCATGCACCAATAGAATATTATATTGTCACATATGAACAAAAGTATGTAGCTATCTGTGTATGTATGGTGATCAACTCTGTATTTATGTGCCCCCTTTATAAACTGCCGATTTTCGAAAACCCACAATCNTAATGATGAAAAGACTAAGGGTGAGCAAAATTCTGAGATGTAATCGCAGGTGTGGGTAGAAGATACTGAAAAAACACGATTGGAGAAACAGTGCAAATTCACAATCGGTACGCATGAAACTCACTCAACTATTTCCGACCGGTTCTCCTGTGCAGTAGTGCAGAGATGTGGCCGTTACGAAGAACAGGTAAAAAACAGATTGCGTATGTTCGAGCACCACTGTCTACGCTGCAACGCACGACAAATAATACTAAGGTAGAGCTCAAAGTTTTATGTGGTCTCGGTCGAGCACTGACTCAAACGCTTGTCCATGTTATGGTCGGTCCATGCATTAAACACGTCACTTAATAGGCTCCATTGGTGTGCTGTGTTTGCTTACTAAACTTAGAATATGATCTGGAATGAGGTTGTGAAAACTCTCATCGGGGTACTTAGTCATTCATATAGATTGGGTTAGGCTTCCCTGTTTGCAGCATAGTCATCAGCCTAATCAGCGGTTAAGGACACTGAATGATGTGTCGTAAACAACACTGGTTGTGTATCTACTCAAGTTCATTAATTTTTTGTATCTGTATTTTGATGGTGTTCTGAGCTTCAAGCTCTTCCATTTAATCCTTCTTCATTGATGGATCTTAACAAATACCACCCCATTTGCAGCACCGGATAATTTTGTTTGGACAGCCCTTTCAGAACCGGTCCCTTTATATATATTTAAGTTCATAAGTTATGAAGTTAAATAAAACTTAGTGCACCTTCCAAGTACACGATGCATGATTAGGAGTTGTGCTTGTATGTGTGTGTGTGACTGTTTTCGTGACAACATATTTCCGGATTTAGGATCCGCCCACACGCCTCTTGCTGCCCATGATAAACCGACGTTTGCGAGTGCAATGACCATAGTCCATTCCATCGTTTTTTCCAGACTAAGAGTATGCATGCGACGCACTCAACGGCAATTGCTGTATTGTTTTTCAGTGTCGGCTTGTCATCTTTTTTACTTTATTTCTCCACTTTTGATAAGACGTAACAGGCGTGCAAAGCTGTATCACTGAGCTGGCACAGGTTTTGCCCATTTGGAAGATGCTGATGATTATGATGACTGGGTCCAATATCGACGGACTGGCGGTCGATGATTTGTGTGTTGTTCACCACTATAAGCCATAAATCTTACATTTTCTGGTTCCCATAACGAAACACTGGCTCCTCATGACTCTGACTTTTACTTGGTCAACTATTCATCACACTAACACGTGAAAAATTGTGGCTTCCTCTATCCTTCGCGTTCCAACAGTAGCGTCTTATACAAATAAATCATTGCTGGAGATCTCCGCAATGCAATACCTTTGCAGTCAACTTATGATTACCTTTTTCCAGTTCGAAAGTTGTCATATTTTGTTGATAGTCGTGAGTTCATGCGAACTTTGGGACTTGCGCTTCCACAGGGCTCAATATGACCCTATCACTTCGTCGAACCGGTAGTCTTCGTGACCACGTCTCTTTTGGGGATGTTTGAAATCGGAATTTTTCACTTTCGCTAAACAAGCTAGCTGCCCTTGACTCATCAACCAAGCAATGGTCCCTAATAACATCTTTTCATATTACTTTAGGGAAATGCACTTTTCGTGGGGAGGCCATGTGTTTGACATCTCAAGTTAGTATCTTAGGTGATCCACTCCATGAGAGAGCCTTTCTTGAGACAAGGATAAGTCGTTGCTCAACCTATGATGCACTGGGTGTTTTTTTAAATTTCAACCAGCTTTTACAATGAGCCTATATTCACAGTCATTCTAGTCCACACGTTTTTTATTTTTAATTGACTTTGTCGTTGTGGTTCCAATTGATCCGCACATCATGTTATATTCATCGGGACTTACATTTATTGATCTGCTCCGCAAATTACCTTCCTGTAGCCCGATTGGACACCGGTATGCTGTGCACCGATGGACTATGTGAAACGAACACGGCGAAAGGGACCGGAGGTGAGTATCTGTGTATCACTTCGGCCATTCTGAACACGGCTTTTGGTGAATATTTACATGATGTGTATGCCAGTCTCTCCTCACCACTGTGTTGGTAGTGTGGGTCACGCTCAGGTATTCCACGAGCATGCTATTTGCTCGCACATTGACAGAGAAAGATGAATTTATGCTCGTAAGCTCGTTAGAGGCTAAATTGATCCTTTTGGTAAGTTGATCGATAATGGTTATTCTCGTGAATTGGTGGGATCATTAGGAGCACAATGATCATGGTAATGCCATTGGACGGAATTGAAACATAAGGGGATATTCCAACTTATATTCCGCAGCTCGTAAACTACATACACATATACACATAAATGATTGAATCATTGCCACATTCAGGCTTTAATTGGAGCTTTTTCTTAACAGCAGGCAAATGTATTCAGGAAGGAGCAACTATTTGCGAAAAATAGGATGTTTTACTATTTTGGTCACTGTAATTTGCACAGACGGCTCCGGCGGCAGCGCCCAACCCACTCTGTTCCGTATTCAGATGTAAATCAGAATCCGTTTCAGACCCTAGAAACGGCTAAATGAAGTATTGGTAGGCGATGATTCTGTCACTTTCGGACGGAATGTAGCATTCTGTGTGTGTGTGTGTGTGTACTACGGGGGAATGACATAAATCTCCACATTTATCTCCGGACAGGTCAATTCTTGTCATATAATTAACACAGACTCCAGTTAGGCAGTAAATCGACGAAATTTTCCGACTACCACTGGCCAGTTTCTTGGGTGATCCAGTCCACATGCAGCTTTGCCCACGAAAGGGTCACAATTAAAACAACTTCGAACTAGGCCGATTTGATTCTGGACCGAAGCATTCTTATTCCGGTCTAACTGCATGGCCGATTGTTCCATCTAATTGCGTTCGATTCTCGTTTCTCGATTCTTCTTTAATCTCATATTACCAGATCGGATTTCCACTCGCACACCATGTGTACATGCCCATTACAGGTCATCGTCATATTTTTTCTGGTTACCATTCCTTATGATTGTTGGTAACTCAATCCATTCAGTTGTTCGTTCACTCGTTCGTCTATATCAGGGTCTTTTTTATTGCATACGATAGTGTGTCAGAACAAACGGACAAATCTACTGTCCGTAAACAATGACAGCTCAATCGAGCACGTGTTGTTCTCGCCATGATTCGATTGGAATCGGATACTCGTCCTGTTGCACTAATCTACTGGTTTTTCTGTTTTTGTCTTTTGTCTAACAGCGCAAGGTTAAAGGTTGGTCTTACATCGATCCGTCTGTGCTGGAGCCAGCTCTTCTACAACAGATGAAGGTACGTACACCCACTGGTCAGTTTGACTGACTGTTTATCTGTCCCGTCATTTCTCTCTCGCTCTCACCTATACCCTAACCCGCATGCTGACCACATGTATGTGCGGTCGCACCTCCTATCTCAAAAGCGTTGACTACGTTTGTGTGTGTGAGTGGGGGGTGGGGGTGTACGCGCATGCGTTTGATGTTTGCAACCTGCCTCTGATGGTCCACTCGTTCCGCCCACATGTGTCTTGTTGAATACCACGACCACACAACCAACATCCATGAAATTAGATGATAGAGTCAAGATGTGTGTATTGCGTCTTCCACACGTGGCTGCCATCCGTGGCATATGTTTGTGTTGGACAAATATGGCTGTGCCATGCTGTTGATGAATGGGTCTCGTCGCTGCATCCCGGTAGTCGTCGGGACCACGAGGGGAAATGACTTGACCAGGAATTTGCCACTCCGCACACACACAGAAAGAAAACGTCGCCGGTGCGAAATGGTCTGCCCTTGTTTGGTCATCGTTTTTTTTCCGTGTCGGGCATCTTTCACTGGCCCCAGTTGACCCCAAATGGAGCACATGTTTCGCATATGCACCATCTTTTGATTCCGTCCATTAATCTTCCTAGGTCACTATGGAAAATAGTGGCCGACCACGTGGCTGGAGTACTTTGGACCCCAGGGAAGCCCAAAAGCTAGCCAGTCCGGTGCGCAACTAACCTTTTAGCATTGCCAGAGGTGTGAATTATCTGTGCCAGTGTGTGCGGCCTCTGGAACACTTGGTTTTGTGTTCGAAAAACCGTGCTACTCTTGCGATCCGATGCTATCTCGGACAACGATATGAAGCATATTCATAATTCTGTGTTGCTTGGTATTGATTTGGTCATATTTCAATCAAAATAACTGATCATATTTCCTGTTTGTGAAAATCTCTGATAAAAGCTTGTCTATCCGCTGAACTGCCTAATTCTCGATGCCATTGTGTAGCAAAGCCGGGAAGAGGAAAACTAAATATTTTATCAAAAGACTTATGTTCTACTGGTGTGCTTTGTCATAAAACCTCGCAGTTCTTATGGTCGTATTCTCTCTTTTGGTGGTCCTATGTTCCCGTCAAACCATATCTTGATCTTAGTTACGTGGAGGCCCGACAGCTCCACTCTCACGGGGGTGATATGAATCCTATCTTCTATCGGGCTGCATATGTGTTGTATAATTTGAATTTTCTCGTCAGTACGGAAGACAGTCAGAGTTCCGAAGTAACAAATTACCACATCACAGTTCACGATAACCACATTTGACTCATCTTTACACCCTAGCCACTGCGAAAGCGATCAACATCTGTTTGTTCATACCCCAACCTATGTCAACGACGAGGTTGACCCATGACACTGCACTGTCATGGCCGAATACTGATCGCACGTTTGATGCATTACAACCTAATTGCCGTGTTATGGCAACTTAGCGGTGCAAAACATGTCGCATCACTCAGCCCACATCTCTCCTATCACTGTGACTTTTGAGCGACTGAATGCCGATCCCCCTTTTTAATATGCCACTTCCGTATATGATCTGAGCATGTGTTCTCTTTTCAGCTATTGTTTCTTTTATATATTACCTGTGACAATCGCCTAAGAGAAAATCGTTCAATAACCCCTTCCAGCTTCTCAAACAAGTCCCAAGTCCGGATTGCGTCATTTCCATCAGATTTTAATGATGGTTTACTCTTCTCTTGTGTATTTCAATGCTTGTGAGGTACACCACTCCGATTGTCAGGTCAAGGCGACCGACGATTTTTACTACGCAATGAGACCTCGTTTAAATTGAGATGCTTTCTTCCGGTAGATGACATGTCGTCGTGCAATGAATATGGTCGTGTCTTTACATTGTGCCCGTTGTGTCAATCCTTGATGTGCACCCAAAGTCATATTGCAACTAGTTATTGTCAACATCCTGGGAATATGAGTTCTATGTATAATCAATAAACACGAACAGAGTGAGATCGAAATGAATTCTGCCCGAAACACTATATCCATGATTCGGGCATCAGCCGATGCCCAAATCCCGCCATCAACGCAATTGGTTATACGCGCTCCTAACACGCAAATTTCACTTCTTGTTTTGCACGATGTGGTCTTCATCTATCACTCCGGAGAATTAACGGCAGCTGATTTAATATGCCCACCTACTATTCTGAACCGTCATTCAGCCCCGGACTGAAATGTGATCATTCTGTGTCGTACGGTGGTTGGTTTTTAAGCTTTAAAAACGCAACGCCCGCACTTTATTTCGTTCATCATTCAACAACTTCCGCGATAGTTGATGACCTATACCCCATGCGTTGATCGCAATATTTTGTGACACCTTGGTTGATAATGCTGAGTCGGATATGAAGAGGGACGGGGGGGAGGTTTCTTGGATGCATCTAAGCCTAAACCAGGGCAAGTACCGTCAAAAATCTGTATCGACTTACAAACAGTACACACGTAGGTTAACTCGACGGTATGATATTTATCGCCTGTTTAAATTTCATCCAAGCTTGTTTATCAAATCTCGGGCCTGATATCATTCTTTGGGTTATGCTGAGAACTGGAATTCACATTACAGTTTGTCACCATCCGTGGTAACAGGAATGAGTCCCTTCCACTAGGTCGTGTGTGTTCTTCCGCAAGAAACATGCTGGGTTTCTCACTGACCCTAGATGCCTGGTTCAAGTCGTCACCCTACAACATCTATGAGAGCACCATCACGCTATTTAGAGAGCAGCGATCATTTTGTCCTTGAGCATCCGCGTGACCTTCGGTTCCATCAATGGGATATACGTATTATACATATTTTCGCACTCATCTGAAGCCATACTGTGTGCCAAACAAATCGCGGCACAATAATCTTTAAAAAAAGAGAAAAGGTCCATGGTTCGTATATATGCGGACTACTGCCAAGTTGTTCAGGACAGGGCAGTTGAGTTTTCTTGGGGGAATTCACAACCGGAGCTTTCGGCTAACCAAAGCTTGACCCACAAGGCAGCGGGGTGGTGTGTGAAAACCGTGTTCCATTCGGGGGTAGGGTGGTGTCCAGTTCATCGGATCATACGCCCATTAGACGGGGTCAACCGTCCAAGATGCCCAATCGAGCCGGTGACCACTGTCACAACCAGGAGGGGTGTGTGTGGTTCGTACGCCCCCTCTTGATTGGTTTGGGATTAGGGTTTGTAGCCAACTCCCCTAGGGGAACTATCAGGGCTTCATCAACACGGTTATACCCCCGGACGTTGGCTTTTCGTCCTGTCACTTCGTTGGGAAAATATTCGCCTCGAAAAGGTGGTGAGTAAGGCTTCCTCAGCACAGGCTATTTGAAACGCTTGTTCTTGTGGGAGCATTTCCCAAGGTGCGAGGGAAGGGGGACCCAATACGCCCATCCCGATGATACTAAGGCTTTCGGTGGAACCAAACTCACCCCAAGGAACAGAGTTTTTGACTTGTGCTGAAGACCACGCCTTGCTAAGTGACGACACACCGATAGGCCAACATGCTTAGTGCTACTTGGCTATTGAGGTATATAGCTGTGGTATACGATTTGCACCATCCGAATGCAGAGTGCCTGTACGAGGCCTACCGGAGCCTGTGCACGCACTCGTGCTTTTTGGCGATTTGTCAGAGATGATGGAGAGCTTTATAACAGTTAGGTGTGGTATTGAGGAAGAAATCACGTCACAAATGGTGAATGATTAAACAACTTTTACAGGTGTACCTTTACTTTTTATTCTTTTTTTCAAACTTTCCTATCCATTTGCACCATCTACTGCGTATTCCAATCGATGGAGGTTCTTCAGTATCCCTATCCGCTTTTGCTATATAATTTTACCTCGCATCCATCATGCTACATTTACAACTGCACTAACATTCTCCCCAATCGTCTTTTTTCGTCGTATATAGCTCGGACAAGCGGCTGCTGCGATTGGTGCAGCACGAGCTGTAGAACGTCGTGAAGAAGATTTTATGCGATTTATGCGAGCTCATACACATACCGCGTCGGCCAGTTCCCATGAGCCAACTTCCACTGGCACAGGTGCTGTTGAAACCCCCACCATTGCTACCACTTCACTACCCACCTCCTTACCTCGTCAGTTGCCCCCTGGTGCGGTGGCCATGCCCGGTTTGACAGTTTCTCCGGTCGCCAAAATCAACAACAACGATGCCCCCGTCGTTTTCAGTAACGGCTTCGGTCAATCCCGTAGCCAACAGGCATCAGCTAATACCAGAACAAGTACAGATGGGTCGAAGACAACAGAGTCATTTCCCTCTCCACCTGTTCGATCGACCACATC